GCAAATCAATGCATACTTTGTCAGGTGGCGACATGTGCTATGGAGAAGAGAAAGGTGGGGCAAAGGGTATAGTAAGTGCCAGGTTGGGGTTCTATAAAAAGAGAGCCTTGTGGCTCTCTGGGGGAGGAGGCTCCAGGCAGAGCTTGGCCTGTTTGGGGAAGTGCAAGTAAGAGTAGGCCAGAGCAGAGTGAGAGGGAGAGTGAAGGGAAGTTGGGAAGGGAGGTAGCAGGGAGCCAGATCATGAAGGGATTTGTAGGCCACAGTAAGTGTACCAATTATCTGTTGCTGCATAACAAATAACCCAAAGTTAACGCAATAAAACAAAAACTTTATTTATTTGTTCTCGTGAGCCTCTAGGTTGTCAGTCTGATGATTCTTCTGCTGGTCTCATGGGGGATCTTTCAGGCAGCTGCTCTCAACTTATGGCATGACTGGAGCTGGAGGTTCCCATGTGGTCTCACTTCCATGTCTGGTAGTTGGTGCTGGCTGTAGTAAGGACTGTGGATTTTATACTGAGTGAGATAAGAGCCATGGTGGGGGTGGGGGTGGGTGGGTTCAGCAAGGATGAGAAACTATGTGACTTATGTTAAAGAGATATCAGGCCAGAGTGGCCTAGGGGTATTTGGATTATGTTATTGTTTTATTGAAAAAAGTCAACTTCCACTCCTGTCCACAAAGGAGTAAATGGGTCTAGAATTATACTCCCACTGTAAACAACAGAACGTTGAACAAAACACAGGGACTAACTATCTTCAGACATTCAACAGCAGGCAGAAGGACTGTGAAAAAAGGAAAGCAAACAAGGGGAGTCCCACTTCTGCCTAGCTTTCTGCCCGGAAGTAATTCCCAAACTGAATGAGAGAATGGAGAGGGGAAACAGAGTCCAGGGATCTTGCTGAGCTGAGAAGACAGATGGGGTTTGGGGAGGCCAAGGCAGCTGGAATTTATGAGACTGAGGAGGGAGCTACTAAGAGAAAGAACTCCAGCCATCTGCATAGGTGTGCAGTTGAGTCTTTGGCAGATGCCAGTCTCCTCAAGCATAGAGTGAAATCCCATGAGTCTCCACAAGAACAACTTTAAAGGAAAGAAAAATTCCTGAGAATCTCATACAGGATGAGGAATTGTTCAAATCTTCTCCAGATAGAGTAGAGAGACCTTACTGAATATGAGACATTAAATAGAAACCCTAGAAATGCCACACCTTAGAAGTGGAGCCAAATTATCCCTAGAATAAAACATGAACTTGCCCTAAAGAGCTTAAAAACAAATCTGGAAAGGATCAAACTAATCCACAAGTAACTGAACTACCTTCCAAAAGAAATCCAGTACTCTTCAAGGGAATACAAGAAAACTCAGCATTCAACAATGTAAGGTTACAATGCTCTGTGTCAAATTTTAAAAATTTGAGTTATACAAAGAAATAGAAAATGTGACCCATAACTAGGTGAAAAAATCTTTCAGTAGGAGCAGACCAAGCTGTAACAGAGATGATGGAATTAGTAGAAAAGGACATGAAAGCAGCCATTATGAATATGCTCTGTATGCTCAAGGATGTAAAGGAAAACATAAGCATGATTGATGAGAGAAATAGGATATAGAAAAATGACCCATGTAGTGATGACAAAAATCTCTGAAATGGAAAATACAGCTGGTGAGATTAACAGCAGATTAGATAGTGCAGAAGAAAAGATAGTGAACTTGAAGACATAGCAACAGATACTGCAGGAAAGGAAGCTCCCAGAGAAAACGGACTCAACAAAGAGGAAGGAACTGAGTCTTAGTGACCTTTGGAACAATCAAGTGGTCTACAATACATATAATCAGAGTGCCAGAAAGGAGAAGGGGAGAGACAAGTTTGAGGAAAAAACTGCCAATAATGTTCTAAATTTGATAACAATCCACAGGTTCAAGCTCAACGAACCCCAAGAAGAATAAACATAAGAAAACCATACCAGGGCACCTCATAACCAGATTGCTGAAAATCAGGAATAAAGAGAAAGTCTTAAAAGCAGACAAAAAAAAAGAGAACAAAAAATGATGTTTTTAGTTACATTGATGAAGAAAAAGCAAGAACACAAATTACCAAAGTGGGTAACGAAAGAGGGACATCGCCATCAATCCTACAGACGTTAAAAGGATAATAAGGAAATATGAAAAGCTTTATGCCAATAAAACTAACAAACTAAATGAAATGGGAAAACTCCTCAAAAGGCACAAATTACCCAAAGTTGACCCAAGAGGAAACGGACGACATGAATAACGCTACATAAATCAAAGAAACTGAATTTATACTTTAAAAGCATCCCACCGAGAAAATTCCAGGCCCGGACGGCTTCACTGGTGAATTCTATCAAACATTTATGAAAGAAACATTACCAATCCTACACAAGGATAAATAGAAAACGCATTCTTTTCTTATTTTTGGTCTTTTCAAGATGATGTTTGACTATCTAAAGCAAAAATAATAGCAACATATTGTGGGCCTTTGTAGAAGTAATATATATGACAACAAAAGCACAAAGTGAAATGTTCTAAGGGTGTACTGTTGTAAGATTCTCGTATTACACATGAGGTGGTATATTATTAATTGAAGGTAGACTGTGGTAAACTAAAGATATATATTGTAAACCCTAGAGAAACCACTAAAAAGGCAAAAAGAATTACAGTCATGAGCCTCGCAATGACGTCTTGGTGAATGATGGACTGCATGTACAACATCCGTCCCATAAGATTAGTACCATAAAGCCTAGGTGTGTTGTAGGCTACACCACCTAAGTTTGTGTAAGTACACTCTGTGATGTTCACACAACGAAATCACCTAATGACACATTTTCCAGAATGTATCCCTGTTGTTAAGCGACACGTGACTGTATAGCTAATAAACGAATATCAAAAACATTCAATTAAATCCAACAAAAGGCAGGAAAATAATTTAGAATGTGGAAAAAACTAAACCTATAAATGGGGAAAGGTTAAGCAAGTTAGGGAGTATCAATATAATGAAATATTATGTAGTTGTTGAAAGTGTTTAAGAAGAGTTTCTAAGATGCAGGAAACTGTTTATGACATGTTAAAATTTTTAACACAGGGTACAACGCCTGCTTTTTTTGTTTTGTGAGGAAGATCAGCCCTGAGCTAACATCTGCTGCCAATCCTCCACTTTTTGCTGAGGAAGACTGGTCCTGGGCTAACATCTGTGCCCATCTTCCTCTACTTTATATGGGATGCCAGCACAGCATGGCTTGACAAGCGGTGCATCGGTGCATGCCCGGGGTTCTGAACCTGCAAACCCTGGGCCACCGAAGTGGAGTGCATGCACCTGACCATTACATCACCAGGCCAGGCCCTACAACACCTGCTTTTAAAATACTTTAACCTAAATAACTTTAAAAATATTCATAAGCATAGAAAAATACGACTGAAAATAAATACACTAAGTATAAGCAGTGTTTGTAATGGGATGGTAAGATGATGGATGATAGTTATTTCTATAGCATTTTAATTTTTTTAGTAAGATGTAGCCTATCATGATGGTTAAGGACATAAACACACAACTTTGGTGGTCAGCCAGGCCAGGGTTTGGTCCCTGGTTCTGTCACTGCTGAGTGAACACTGGCAAATCAATTTCTCTGCATCTCCATTGCCTCCTCTGCAAAATGGAGGTAGTTGTAGTTCTCAGTGTTGTTTTGAAGATTCAATGAGATAATGTGAATAAAGTGTGCAGCAAAGTGTCTGGCATAAAGTTAATAGTCACTGAGAATTTGTTTATAACTTCTATAATCAGAGAAAAAGAAGTTTTAAAGACAAAACTTGCTTTGAAAGAAACCCTCGGGCCAGTGCCGGTGGCCTAGTGGTTAAGGTTGGCGCACTCCGCTTCGGTGGCCCGGGTTTGTTTCCTGGACGCAGACCTACACCACTCGTCTATCAGTGTCCATGCTGTGGCAGTGGCTCACATACAAAATAGAGGAAGATTGGCAACAGATGTTAACTCAGGGTGAATCTTCCTCAGCAAAAAAAAAAAAAAAAGAAAAGAAACCCTAATTGACAAAGGCCGTGTAGTGAAGGTCAGAACCAGGGCAGGGCCCAGAGCAACTGCCCCTCAAGTCTTCCCAGGAAAGACACTTTTGGTTGCAAGTGGCAGAAACTCCTCACCAAGCTTAGGCCCTAAATGGTAGTTGGTTATGAGCACACCAGGGTGGGTGTCTCAGAGAACCCAGGTTAAGAAATGCCACCAGCTTCCATGAGGCCCACCAGGCTGGGAACTGGGATTATAAACCCAAGACCCACTCTTCCCATCTCTTCCCTCTCTGCTTTTCCAGGCACAGGGCATCCCACCAGGCCTGTTTAATTTTCCTCACTTCCGGCCATCCCACCAGCCCAGGTTCCTGGGAGTGAGCTTCTGATTGGCCCAGCTCGGGTCAGGTGACCAGCCATGGTCCAATCAGATATGACCACAGGGGAGGAGTCCCAGTACACACGTGGCTACTCTGGGCCCCGGTTCGTGGAGGGGCAATGATGAGATCCTTGTAGCAGGGTGGACTCCCCGCCAAGCGCCCCTAAATTCTGTGTCTGCTCTTTGCTCGTGCTTCTCTTCTTAGTCAGAGTTCTTCCTCCTCCATAAGTAAGGCTACTTCAGGCCACTCAGCCATGGTGGGGAAGCCTCATGTGGCCGGGAGTTCCCTGTGCACTGCTAGCAGGAGGGCTCCCAAATATGTCACCTAAATCCTCCTTGGTTTCCCTGGCACGTGCCACAGGGCCACAGTGGGTGACAAAACGACAGGCTGCTGGACTAGGGTCTGACCCAGGTGGGCACTTCTGGATTTGGTTTTTTGCTGGAGGAGAGAGGGGTCGATTCTTCCAGATAAACAGGTTCTCTGGCAAAAGGTGGCCTTGGGAGCACTTAAATCAGAAAACACAAAGGTTGGTCTAAGAAAAGCATGATTCGCTACACACACACACACACACACACTCTCTCTTACCCCATCTCCGCAGAAATAAACAAACAAAAGACTAACGTATCTTTTTTTTTTTTTTAATTGTCATTTTCAAGCTCCCCACTGCAGCCGCCCCCCCACCCGTCCCCTCGCTGACCACTTTTGCAGGCTACAGGAGACCAGGGAACAAAGCTGGGGCCTGGCACCCCCGCGATGCTGCCAGCCTGGGAGAAGTCACAATTACAAATTATCACAACAATTAGCGCCCGTGCTCGGGAGATGGGCAAAGTGAGGAGGCCCAGCTCCTCATTGTCCGCTGGTCTATTTGGTGGTGACCTTGCTCTGGAGGCGATGATATTCCTTCAGCCTGTAAACCAGATTCAAAACAAAGAAAAATGTAAATTAACAATAAAAACATGCACTCCGTTCAATTAATTCAGGCAGAGCCGGGGCGGAGGGGGCAGCTGTTTGTTAAGACGTGTGTGAAGTTGTCTTTTTTCCTCCTCTATTCCCTTTCCCGCCCTCCAATCGGGATAATGTAATTAATTTATCTTAGGGGGAAAACATTGCTTGTCATTGTTGAAGACAAAGCGTTTAACTGGCAATGGGAGAAATGAAGAGGCCATTATGAAAACCCGGTGTGTGCTCGTGTTCGGAGTCGTTTAAAAGGGTTTATAGAGTCATAAAATTCAAACAGAGGACCCAAGAGGAGGGGAGGAGGAGAGTGCCCAGGGCAGTCGGACTGGATTCGAGGTCTCTCCCAGTCTTGGCTCCAGGGACAGGATGCTGGCTCTAGAAGAAAATGGTGGCTCTGTGCCCAGGGCACGTGTCAGGGAGAGGAGGGAGACTCATGCCTTCTTCCTGACCCAAGCCCCACGAGAAGGAAGTTGGTGATTAAGAACCCAGAGCTGGACAGACAGGCCCTCTGGACTCAGCTCCATGTCTTCCTAGCTGTGTGACCATGGGCAAGTTACTTAACCACTCTGGGCATGTTTCTGGAGTTGCAAATTTGTATAAGAAATGAGACAACCTAGGAGAGTGCCTGGAAGTGGTTAGTCTATGGTGGCTGCTGCTAGTAAATGCCCGTTTGCCCTCATGCATACCAGCCACAGGGCCATGCCCAGGCTGCCCACTTGTTGCCAGGCACTGCGTTCTTCCTGCAGGCCAGAGTCTGGGCTGCTTGCTTGATTTCCATAGACTCATATCAAACTTTCACTGCACCTGTGAGGCAGGTACGGTTAACAGCCCCGCTTGTGATTCCCAGGTGTTCGGAAGGGGTCTGAGACCACACTGCAGAGTGAGGATTTGAACCCAGTTCTTTTTTTTTTATTTTTATTTTTTTTAAAGATTTTATTTATTCATTTTTTCCCCCCAAAGCCCCAGTAGACAGCTGTATGTCATAGGTTCACATCCTTCTCGTTGCTGTACATGGGACTCGGCCTCGGGTTGGACTGAGAAGTGGTGCCTTGGGGCGTGCCCGGGATCCGAACCCGGGCCGCCAGCATCAGAGCACGCGCACTTAACCGCCAAGCCACGGAGCCGGCCCTGAACCCAGTTCTGAATGGCTTCAGAGGATGTGTGCCACCCCACTGGGCCATGGATGGTTTCCAGCTAGACCTGCAGCTCAGGTATGGTGACATGAAGGTGGGAGCTGGCCAGGGACCTTCTGAGGCTCCTTCAACCTCTCGGCCCTGTCTCTTTCCGACCTGCCTAGAAAGGGGCTCCCAGTGGAGTCCCTGCAACCGGAGAGGGTGGGAGTGAATGTCAGACGCAAAGGGCAGGACCCAGGAACCTGGAACCCTAGTGCCTAGGACCCTTTTGGCTGTCACAAGTGTGCCTTCTGGCCCCGCTGAGGATGGGAGCAGGCTGGGTCCAACGCAGCACTGAAGATGCTATGGGTGGAGGGACAGGAAGGTGGGGCTTGTCTGGGGCAGGGCAGCGGTCAGAGTGGTCCCAGTCCCATCAGAGCCTGCTCCTCACCCCTGGGGGGTCTGAGGACCTGCCATGGCCCGGAGCTTCTCACCTGAGGGAGTTGATGTTGATGAAGCCAGTGGCATCGAGTGGCTCGTAATCGCCCTGGACATTCATGCTGCGAGGAGAGAGCAGAAGCCTGTCAGCACCCACCAGCCTTGCCCCTGGCATCCGAGGTGCCTCTGGGGCCAGGAACAGCCCAGCCTCACAGACACAGCCATTTCCCTGTGTTGCTCCAAACCCTCCCTGCACTTTGCCTTTTCACTCCATTCCCGTCCAGTTTGGGAGTCCTACTCTGGGCCAGGCCCTGTGCCTGGGCCTGGAGAGCAGGGAGCCGCATTCCTGCTCCACAGACGGGCAAGGTGAGTCCTGGCTCAGCCAGTGCAGGCCGGCGAGATGCTCCCATGAACCAGAGCACCGCATCTGTCAGCAGAGGACACACAGGAGCCAGCTCTGCCCTTGGGGCTCTGGGGGCTCTGAGAGGAGAATCCAGGCACGGCTGATGATGTCCAGTGGCCTGAAGGCCTGGGAGGCCATGGGGTGCACACCGGAACAGCCTCGGATGAGCGTCCCTCAAGCTCTCAATGCAGGGAGGTCCCCAGCATTCACAGCAAGATTGGTCCACTGTCACCTTTCACCTTGTTTGTCAACCAGTGACACCCTGCCTAATCCAGCCTCAAACCCAGCACCGACCCCACGCCAGCTGGTGGTGAACAGCGCCCGGGCCACCGCTGCTGTACTCAGCCCAGCAGACTTCTCTCCCCATCTGCAGTTTCCATCGTCCAGATTCGACAGCCTTCATCTGTGGGGCTGTCTCACTCAGCTGTCCTTCAAAACCCTTCCCAACTGCAGTCATTCAGGTCCGGCCACCCCGGGGGGTGCATCGGAGGCCCCCGCCCCTCCCCACCACAGAGCTTAGGGAAAATATTCCTGCTCGTGGAGCTTCAGTCTCGCACTCGCGAAATAGGCCTATCAATGTTATTATTGTCTCCATGTGAAATCATGCAGCTGGCACCCGGTACACAGTAAGCACTCACTATTACATCATTTGTTCACTCAGTCATTCATTTATTCAGGTATTTATTGAGCACCTACTGCTTGCCAGGCGCTGTGCCAGGTGCAGAGGAAACGAGAAAGAAAAGAACAGGGCTCATGGGGGGCAGACAGAAGCAATCAATCACCCATCTGCCTTTGTTAATTACGACCGTGATAAGCTTTTTGAGGACAGGTTCGGGCACTGTGGTCTCGGATCTGACTCCACACGGCCGCCCTCCACGCCTCCGGGGGGGAGGGGTCCCTCTGTTTCTCACGGGCCCCTGGTCGGGTCCTGGCCTGAATCAGCCCCTTGTCTTCATGTCTGCAGAACTCCAGCCTCGGGACAAGGCAGTCTCAAGGTTCTCGATGACAAGAAGGTGGCCTGTCCCCTCAGGAGCCTTCTCCAGAGAGGTGGGATTGGGGAGGGGAGGGCAGAGGGGATCTGCCGTTTTTCTGAGACCCTGAGGCTGTGCCTCTGACTGGCTCTCTGTGGACTGTGGACTCTTTACAACAACAAGTAGGGGCTCTGTGTCTGGCTGCCCCACAGCTTCTTCAGGACTTGGGCTCCGTTGCCCTCCCACCACATCCTCGCCCTGACCTTCACGGGGCACGTGGGACTCCCACGCTCCCACCCCTCCCCTCTCTCCACCTCCGCTGGCCCCTCCACAGCGCAGGAGGCTGAAGCCCCCAGGAGCTGACCAGCAAGTTCCCCGCAAGGGAGAAGATGCCAGACTTCAGAGGGGCTGCCTCACCGGGCAGAGGAAAGGCTGCACGAAACTAAAAGCCTCCTCAAATCGCTTTTACAGATCTTGCTCGGGGTGATAAACGATGCTTAACATGACCCCCACCCAAAGCCATCCAACAGACGTGGACACTGGCCTCACTCCCACTGTCTGCATGGCCCTGTCCCCTCTGGAAGGGACGCTGTGCTCAGCCCAGGGAGAAAGCACCCCCACCACGTGCATCTCTCCTTTCGCCTCCATCTCTCACGTGTCACAACAAACTCTCACTCCCTTCCCCCACCCGGGCCCCCCAGACCGTCCCAGCAGCCCCTGCAAAGGGAGGCCCATAGCCAGGGACAAACTTGTCCCACGAGGTTGCCAAAGAGTTCCCAGAGGTGTTTCTCAGGCACTGAAAAACCTCCTTTTAAAATTGTGCCCTGGGGTGGTGGGGGGGGTGTGGTGGAAAAAGAGTTTACAATGATTTTTTTTTTTTACCTCCCCTGACGGTCTACAGAAAACCTCTGTGCTTTTATTTTTGTTCATTCGAGTGGCTCTGACCTGCTCTATAATTACGTTACTTTCTACCTACTGTGCCGCGGCATTTCCAGTTCTGCTACCTCTCGCGGCTTCCTCGCTGGTCCCTGTGACGCTGTCACTCAAGGGCTTTCAAGTCAGCGATGTAGAAATCAAAAAGAAAAGAGAAATGGTCGGAGACACAGTGAGAATAAATGCTCCTGCTTTTCTCTCTTTTTTTCCCCCTTCCCTTTTTACTTTATTCATTTAATCTCCCTGAGTGAGACTGTAAGGCTTAATGAAGGGTTGGACAGATTATTAGAGGCTGTTGATTTGGAGGGGGAGGGAAGAAAGAGCCAGAGAGAGAAAGAGAGAAGATAATTTGACATTTACCCCGACTGATCTAAACTGATTCGGTTATATTTATGGCTTATAAAGTGTTTAGAAAGATGGAAGGGGGGAGAAACTCAACACGGCAGAGAGAAGGGAGACAGAAAAAAAATATTGACTGCCAAACACAACTCGTGCCTTAATTCCCAGCCGGCCTCTGCCAGGGGAGAGCCGGCCTCAGCCTGAGCTGAGCTGGGCCTGGGACCTGAGTCAGGTGGGCTGTCTGCCCCACAGGGTCTGTCCCCACTGCTTGTTTGGCCAGGTGACCTCCAAAGAGAGGCCTTGCTCCTCAGTCAAGGCCGCTCTCATTCACGATGAAAACACAGGTGTAGCTACCAGGCAACCGTGCCCTGTGACCTGGCCCCCAGGGCTGTCCCGCTCTCTTGGTGTCCTCAGCGCCCCCGGCCTGGCCCGTCAGTGAGGAAGCTCCTCGGGGTTCCCTCCTTGGCCCCCTCCTCATCTCAGGCTCGCCTTTCCCAGGCAGTCTGCTCTTGGCCTCAGGGAACATCGAGATGTCTACCACCGTCCAGGGTTTTCAACTCACGTCTCTCCCCAACTCCAGACCCGAGTGTCCAGCAGCCTACTGCAAAGAAAACTCAGCCTCCTGAGGTCCAAACCCAAACGCGTGATCTTTCCTCAAGAACATTCCCTCCACTCAAGTGATTGCCACTGATGTACCCAGCTGCTTATGCCAAAGAAACCCAGGGTGATTCTGGACCCTTCCATCTCCCTCCACATCTAAGCCCTTTTGATCCCACCTCCCAAGTATCTGCCAAATCTGTCTGCTTCTCTCTATTCCCAGAACCATCAACCTGGCCCGAGCCACCAGCATGTCCCACGGGGTGCCCCTGTATCCACTCTTGCCAGCTCCCACCTTGCTCAGATCCATTCTCCAGAACGGCCAGAAGGACCCTCAAAAACCACAGGTCTGATCAAGTCCTTCCCTTTATGATCTGGCTCCAGGCCCCTTGCCCCCGGTGTTCTTATAGTGCCTGGGATGTTCTGGGCTCTTCCAAGGCTCAGAACCTCTGCACATGTCATACTGGCCCTGAAAACCCTCCCTGACCCTCTCCATCTGGTTAATGCCTTTCTTTTGGTGACCAGCTCAAAGATGACTTCCTCAGGAAAGTCACACCCAGTTACTACACCCAGCCAGAGTTGGTTTTTTTTGGGGGGGAGGAAGATTAGCTCTGAGCTAACATCCAATGCCAATCCTCCTCTTTTTTTTTTTTGCTGAGGAAGATTGGCCCTGGGCTGACATCCATGCCCATCTTCCTCTACTTTATATGGGACACCGCCACAGCATGGCTTGACAAGTGGTGTGTCGGTGCGTGCCCAGGATTCGAACCCGAGAACCCCAGGCCGGCAAAGCGCAGCACGTGCACTTAACCACTTGTGCCACCGGCTGGCCCCACAACACCCAGCCAGGGTTTCCTGCGCCTCCTCGCAGCCCAGTGTCACCTCTCCTGATTCTACCTCAGGGTGATCACTGGGCTGGTGCCTTTCTCCCTGTCCAGCCCGTAAGTTCCACGAGGGCAGAGGTGGTGTCGACACTCTTCAGCTGAGCACGTGCTCAGGCCCGTCTTTGTGGAGAAGTCAGAAGAGACTCTGGACAGGAGGGTCTGTGCCCAGCTGTGGGCAGATGTGGGGCACCCACCTTACCAGCTCCTCATTGTAGAGGGACAGTGGAGACTCCCGGCCGAGGATGTACACCTGGCCCTTGAAGACAGACACCTGCACTGTCCCTTCCACGCGCTCCTGGGACTTGGCGATGCAGTGGCGGACAAATTCACACTCAGGGCTGTGCCAGAAACCTGCGGGGAGGAAAAAATGAGGCCGCTAGGGAGGCCCACGTGCTGCCTGCCTCGGGCCAGGGCACGGGGAGGACCGGGGCTCAGGAAGGGCACCCTGTGCCTCGCCCCGGCGTGGCAGACCATGAGCCTGGGAGGGCAGGCCTGCGTCTGCCTGTTCACTGCTGAGTTTGAGCACAACGCCCACTTGTAAACGACCCCAGCAAGGAACAAGCCCGTGTACCTGTCCTGTAACTTTGCAGGTCTCCTGGGTAAGGGGCGTCCCTGTCCCTGCAATGCAGTCACCTTCCAATGGTCAGGAGGGGAGCTAACCCACTGTGTTATGCCAGACCCGAGCCAGGGGCTGGGGACACAGTGGTGAAGGGACTCCTGTCCCTCGCCCACAGGGAGCTCAGTTTTATGAGGGCAGCAGACAGTCGTCAGCAGAAGACCTCAGGCAATACTCAGGCCGTGTCACCCGGGGCTGAGCGATAGGGGTGCCCAGCACGGGCAGCTGGGTGATGATTTGGGGTCAGGAAGACCATGTGTGCATGGCCGTCTTCCCCTGTGCCTCAGTTTCCCAATCTGTTGAGTGAGGATGAAACAGTATCCCCCCCCAGGACTAGTGGGCTTATTGCGTGTGGAGGCCCTGGGCTCCGGGGCTGCTGTGGACACTGGTGTCCCAGCCGAGAGCCGGGAAGAGCCCCACCCCTCAGGATGGGCAGGCCCCTTGGAAATCAGTGACCTGTCTTCTAGATACTGCTCATATTTTCATCCACAAATATTCTATTTTTACATAGTAAGCACCGGCATTGTGCTAAATTCTTTACCTGGACAGCTTAGCTCTTTGAATCCTCATAAACAGCCCCATGAGAAAAACTGTCTCAGCCTCTCTTTTCTGGGTGAGGAAGTGCGGCTCAGGGAATTGGAGAAACTTCTCCAAGGCGACACAGGCTGTCAGTGAGGGGCCTAGATCTGGCTTCAGTTGGCCCAAGTTGTAAGGACTCTGCTTCGTATGATAATCTTGGAGTTTTCCTGTCTGTGGCTGAACAACCTGCCCGGGCAGGAGGTGCCTGAGAAATGTGCTACCTCCTGCCGCCTCCTCCCTCCCTCCTCTTCCAGACCCCTAAGGCCAGGGAAGGCTGCGTGCTCAGTCCCCGTCTGCCCCGGTGCCGGAGCCGGCAGGCTCAGACCTGTGGACAGCCGTCTCCTCCCTAGTCTCTGCTGTGGGAGGGGAGGAGCGAGGGGCCGGCAGGCAGGCCAGGGCCAGGGGTGGGGGAGGGACAGCGCTAGGGGTTGGGTTTCTCTGAAACGGAGCTGGGAAGGTGAGCCCACCTGGGCAGCTGCGGGGCCAGATGGTGCGCGATCTCCTGCCCTGATAAAGGGCACGGTCAGCCCCGGGCCTGCGGCTATTGTTGGAGGCCCAGGCCTCCAGGGGCACCTGCTGAGGCTCTCCGTGGGAAAGAGGAGCAGGCCTGCTCGGGGCTGGGGTCTGCTGGCTTGCAGAGGTGGGGGAGGGCCGGGCAGGGTGAGAAGACGTTGGGTCTTCACTCTCCGGTGTCCGGCCATTTGAGCTTACATCCCGGCCCCACCTTGTCAAGCAACGTATCCTCTTCGTGCCTCAGTTACCTCGTTTGCACAATGAGATAATATTACTAACTGCTCTCCAGGGGGCAGTGCAGATTCAATGAGACGATGCAGGCAGAGCGCTGAGCATTCTGCATTCCGATTTGAACACGATGACCTCTGCCAGCCCTCACTATATCCAGGGAGACAGACACCCAGAGAGGGAAAGAGCCTGTCCAAAGCCACACAGCGAGATTCTGAACAGCCCAGGTCTGACCGAGTGCTCCTGACTCTAGCCCAGACCCCCGTGGGAGGGGACACTGACCGCCCCCCCGTCCCCTGCCATGCCCCAGTGTCCTGGGCTCGGCTGTGCTTCTGCTAAGTCAGCACAATTAGACCATTAAGTTCTCAGGCTGAAGACAGGTGGGAGATGGAGCCGCGACAGGGGGACAGAGACCCCTGTGGGAGCACCTGGCCTGGGCTTATCTCGGGATCTCTCACCTCCACCCCACGGGGGTCTTCCACTCAGATTTCTCTTCCCAGCAGACCCAGCCTGGGGTGGGGACAGTGAGCCTGGCGTGCTGCATGGGGGAGACTGTGCACGCCCCAGGCATGTGGACGCACTGTGGGTGGGGCCTGGGGCTGGGCCACACTCTGCACTAATCGAGACGACAACTCTGTGCATTATACCCACTTTACTGCTGAAGAGACTGGGGCGAGGGGAGAGGAGGTGAGCTATGCCCCTAAATGAGATGCTCCATCAGGCCCCTCCAGGGTCTCTCAGGAGAGAGGCTGCTCCTGGACGGAGGGCGTCTGTACAAACCACATCCAGGCAGTTCAGGAAATCTGGGGATGGGGCAAGAGGAGAGGGAGATGGACAGCGGTCACAGTCGCCAGGGCATCTAGAACTGGGGCTGAGACAGGAGAGCTTCCCCGTGCCTCAGTTTCCCCATCTGTGCCCCAAGACCACAGGGGCTCTGAGGAAGCCAAGTGCCACAGCAGGGTGGCAGGCTCTACCACTGAGGAGCTGGACAGCTACTGGGAAGATACCTGGCCTCGTGCCCTTTATTTTACAGGAGGGGAAACTGAGGCTCAGGGAAGAGATAGACCTACCCAGGATCATAAACCTGGCCAGAGGCAGGGCCCCAGTCTTCTGCCTCCACGCTCAGAAACCTTGCCAGGCATTTGTACTTACTTAACGCCTGCTGGAACAGAGCTCCTCCACGCCAGGCACTGTTCTAGATACTTTACACATATTCATGCATTTAGTCCTCACTACGAGACAGGCGGAATTATCATCCCCACCCTTCAGATCAGGAAACTGAGGCACAGGAACAAGTAACTTGTTCACGCTAACTCCTAGCCTATGACATCTCTGTATCCCTAATGTGAGAAATCACATCAAACAGCCCCTCCGAGCAGTAGGGGGACAGGCTGCTGCCCGAGGTCAATGCTGACATCTAGGGGGGCCTGGATGTCAGGGGCAGCCGGGTAAAGGTAATTAATCAATAATAACCACCTGTGTAAGCCTCCAGTCCCCTCATGTCTTCCCCTTCTCCTCCACTCTAAGGGTTCGTTCCCTTTGAAACGTCCTAATCACTGTGACTCATTTTGGGATTTAGAGGGCTCGGTGGGTGACAAAGCAGTAACGCAACCCAGGCAGCCTGGTGCAGAGGCACCGAGCCTGCAGCGAGGGCCAGGCCATGCCGAGACACCAGGCTCCCCTGTGCATGTTGTCAGGCCCCTTGATCACCCCTCGCTAACGTCCCAGCCCACCTTCCTGCCCCCCAGGGACGTACCGGAGTGGCTGAGAACTTGGCCTCTGAAGCTGGCCTGTCCCGGGCTCAAAGCCCCGCTCACCAGCCGTGAAACCTCGGATAAGAGTCTTCACCCCCCTGGGACTCGGTTTCTCACCTCTGTGCAGCTCCGATTAGGGACTGCCCACCAGCGCCCCGCTCAGGGCCCCACAGCAAGAGAGGTGGTGCCATTCTATCCTGGGGGGGAGGCTGGCCGTGTGCTCCCAGCTTAGCCTCCACGAACGACCACCCCCTCCCCGGAGCAGGAGCAGCCCCGGGCAGGTGCTCTCCTCTGCTTCGCAGCCTGCCATGGCTTAATGACTCTCCCATTTTGTAACCCAAATCCACCTTTCAGCGTCGAAACCCCACAGAGCAAGAGCCTGCAGGAGACAATGGTATTTAAACACCTGTCTGTACCTGGGAAGGGGGACTTGGCTTCCAAGCTGCTGGGAACAATAGGAGGGAGAAATAACGCCAGCCAATAACCACCAAGCCCTCTAAATCCCAAGATGAGTTACAGTGATTAGGAGGTTTCAAAGGGAACAAACCCTCAGAGTGGAGGAGAAGGGAAGAGGCGAGGGCAATGGAGGCTTACCCCATGTAGTTATTAATATGAACTTTACCCGGGTCCCCCTGATGCCAGGCCCCCACAGATATATCAAGGTCCGCCTTAGGCAACAGCCTGCTCCCCCCAGCAACTCAGAGAGGCCGTTTGATGTAATTTCTCATCAGGAAGACATGAAAATTTTTTTATTTTTTGCTGAGGAAGATTTGCCCTGAGCTAACATCTATGGCCAATCTTCCTCTCTCTTTTTGTTTTGCTTGAGAAAGATTCACCCTGAGCTAACATCTGTGCCAATCTTCCTCTATTTTGTATGTGGGTCGCCACCACAGCATGGCTAATGAGTGGTGTAGGTCCTTGCCTGGGATCTGAATCTGTGAACCAGGGCTGCTGAAGTGGAACGCACCAAACTCAACCACTAGGCCACGGGGCTGGCCTCGGAGATGTGAATATTATGGAGCAGGGTCAGCAGTTTTCTGGAAAAGGCCAGATAGCAAATTTTATTTATTTGTTTTATTAGTGAGGAATATTAGCTCTCAGCTAGCATCAGTTGCCAATCCTCCTCTTTTTGCTGAGGAAGATTGGCCCTGGGCTAACATCCATGCCCATCTTCCTCCACTTTATATGTGGGACGCCGCCACAGCATGGCTTGACAAGTGGTACGTAGGTCCGAACCTGGGATCTGAACCTGCGAACCCTGGGCCACTGAAGCAGAGCACTGGAACTTAACCACTATGCCACCGGGCAGCCCCCAGATAGCAAATATTTTAAGGTCTGCAGGTCATTCGGTTGCAACTACTCAACTCTGCCATTGGAGCTCGAAAGTGGCCACAGACAATCTGTAAACGAATGAGTGTGGCCATGCCCAAAAAACTATTTATGGACACTGAAATTTGAATTTCCTACAATTTTCACATATCATGAAATAGTATTATTTTAAAAAATTTTCCCCAACCATTTGAAAATGTAAAAACTATTCTTAGCTCATGGGCTGAACAAAAACGGGCAACGGTCTGGATTTAGGGACCCCTGTTATACAAGATGAGGGACGGATCTGGAGCCAGGAGGCCTGGATTCCAGCTCGGTGACAACAGGTAAGGCACGGACACTCAGTCTCCTCACCTGTAAAATGGGGACCCACCCATACCACATGCTAACGTCACCCACCAGTCAGTCCACGAGTGGGCGGGGCATGGGACCGTCCTGGTGATTTCCCACTTAAGATCTGGCTCCTGCAGTGCAGTGCCCGGGCCTGGAGCTGAGGTCTTGGTCAAGGGAGGCTTACTCTTGCTTTTTTTTTTTTTTTTTTTGTGAGGAAGATCAGCCCTGAGCTAACAACCCTGCTAATCCTCCTCTTTTTGCTGAGGAAGACCGGCTCCGAGCTAACATCTATTGCCAATCCTCCTCCTTTTTTTTTTTTTTTTTTTTTTTAAAGATTTTATTTATTTTATTTTTTCCCCCTAAAGCCCCAGTAGATAGTTGTATGTCATAGCTGCACATCCTTCCAGTCGCTGTACGTGGGACTCGGCCTCAGGATGGACAGAGAAGTGGTGCCTCGATGCGCACCCGGGATCCGAACCCGGGCCACCAGCATTGCAGCGCGCGCACTTAACCACCAAGCCACAGGGCCGGCCCCCTCCTCCTTTTTTTTACCCCCAAAGCCCCAGTAGATAGTTCTATGTCATAGTTGCACATCCTTATAGTTGCTGTATGTGGGACACGGCCTCAGCATGGCCGGAGAAGCGGTGCGTTCGTGCGCGCCCAGGATCCGAACCCAGGCCACCAGCAGCAGAGCGCGAGCACTTAACCGCTAAGCCATGGGGCCGGCCCTATTTTTTTTTTTTTTTTTTTTGCAAGATTCACCCTGAGCTAATATCCGTGCCAATCTTCCTCCATTTTCTAATATTTGAGCTGCCAGCACAGTATGGCTGCTAACAGAGCAGTGTACATCCATGTCTGGGAACCGAACCTGGGCTGCCGAAGCGGAGCATGCAGAACTTAACCACTAGGCCACCGGGGCTGGCCCAGGCTTTCCCTTGCTTGAGGCAGTCCATGTAGTCGTTCCAGGTTCTGCCTGGAGACAGCCTGGCCTGGGGTCAAACCCAGCTAGGCCACTTCTGGTTGTGTAACTTTGTACAAACTCCTTCTGCTCTGAGCCTCAGTTTCCTCATCTGTAAAAGGAGCTGACCGCAGCTCTCCTGGGAATGTTGGGACCCCCTGGGATCCCTCATGTCCCCTCACAGTGCCCAGCACCCGGCATGTGCAGGACAGAGGTTGGCTGCCCTACGGATGACACGCGATGCTTCCGTGGCCTTGCTGGAGTCATGGAGACGGCGGGTGACAGAGGCATCCGGACACCTTGGGGAGACTGGCGCATCTCCCCCGACACGTTGTGAACAAGGTAGGTCCCAGCATCCCCTCCTCACTCCCTCGTCCCCTGCCCTCACTCGACCCCTTTCAACCTACATCTTTCAGGCTCTGTCACGAAGATGGCGGCGGGCGAGGCGGGACCAAGGAGGGTGCCGTGCAGTAGGGGGCAGGGGACAGCGGCAGAGCCTACGCACCTGTGTACACCAGCTCCGCGAATTTCAGGCCCAGGCCTTGTTTGATTTTGCGCACTTCCCGATCCATGGTGAAGGCCTCGATGTCTAAATGAGCGTGGTAAAGGATCGTCCCCGCTGGGGTCTCGTAGATACCTAGCCATTTTTCCAGGCAGGGGGAAAAGGAGAAAAAAGAGAGAAACGTGTGAAACCCAAACTGTCAGCAAATGACAAAAAAAAAAAAAATAATAATGACTCGTCTGACAGGAGACAAGCCGGTCGGACCCATTCACTCCCAGCTTGCTGCAAAACGCATCTGTCATTATGTTCATGCTGGGGCCACGACAGTCCACTCTGTGGCTTGTGGAGAAAATGTCTAGATGCCCCCCTTTGAAGAGGCCCTCAGACGGTGGAAAATGACAGGGTTTTGGAGCCTCTCCCCCCTCCTTCCCAACGCATGCCCACCAGCCTGTGGCTGAAAACCTGTAATTAAACCGACTACAGTGGAGCTCAGGGCCCCAAATATCCCTTCCTCCCTTCCACCAGGGAGCCAGCGGAGGGGACGGCTGTGCACACACATGTACACGTGTGCACACACATGCCACCTTCGGCCAGCAGCTCCCCTGCAGCCACGTCTCTGCAGATAAATCCCGACTGGTGCAGTGGTGGAGGGGTTGCAATCGCCTGTGCTGACCCCACTCTACAGATGGGGAAACTGAGCCCGGGAGGAGAAAGGACACGCCTGAGGTGGAGGTGGGAACTGAGTCCAGGCCCCCGAGTCCCTGACTGCTGCTGTCGCTCACTGCCCTGTGGGTCAGCTGGTGATGGGGGCCTACACCGGGAAGGTTGTGCGAAGATGGTCTTGCTCAAGCCCCCTCTTCACACCGCAGGCCCAGTCCCTCCATTTGTCAAACAACCTGCTTGGATCAGATGGTCTCCAAAGTGACGTGGAGGCGCCCGGCCCCGCGCTGAGCGTGGTCCCAGGAGGAAGGTCTGATTGGCAGTGCCACGCTAGATCTGAAGACACTGAGGCGCCGGGCAGCAGAACTGCCGACGTGCACATGGCCAGACTCCCTCTTGCCCCAGCAGCGTGGCCTCTTGAATAAAGTTCGGGGGCACACGTGGAGCTGACCATGGGCAAACCAGCCCTGGGTCCACTTTCCTGATGGAGGAGAGGCCGTAACTGCCCCGTCCCCACAGTGCTACCCTGAAAGATGCCTTTCTTCCCACCACATACCCTTCCAGCGGTAAAGGGGCAAGGTTTCAGGTATCCTGAAGGTTTACCACCATCGTCTTTCCACACTGGCTGCTTTGTGAAACACAAAGGATCTGTACACCCACGTTCATGGCAGTATTATTCACAACAGCCAAAAGGTGGAAGCAACCCAAATGCCCATCAACAGATGATGGATAAACAGAATGTGCTGTATACACACATGGAATATTATTCAGCCTTAAAAAGGAAGAAGATTCTGACACATGCTACAACATAGATGCACCTGGAGAACATTATGCTAAGTGAAATAAGCTAGACACAAAAGAACACTTACGGTATAATTCCACTTATATGAGGTCCTTGGAATAGTCAAATTCTTAGAGACAGAAAGGAGCATGGTGGGTGCCAGGGGCAGGGGGAGGGGGAATGGGAGTTTGTATTTAACAGGTGCAGAGTTTCAGTTTGGGAAGATGAAAAAGTTCTGTGGATGAATGGTGGTGATGGTTGCACAACAACGTGAATGCACTTAATGCCACAGAACTGTGCACTTAAAAGTGGTTAAAATGGTCAATGTTATGTTATATATATTTTACCACCATTTAAAAAAATGCTTTCAAAAAACCCCAGAAACCGGAAAGGAGATTGTTTTCGAATCCAAAGGGGACATGGGCAAGGCTGAGTCTGATGTGAGTCTATGTGAATAGCCAGAAATTTCCTCCTCTGAAACTCCTCTAATCTTTGATCTTTATGTCTGGGAATCACGGGAATGTCAGAGCTTGAAGGAAAGGCCCTTTAGGGTCTCTCGGTGCCGTGTTCTCACGTCCTTCCAACTTTTAGCTGCAAACCCATTATTCAAACACAGTCCCAAGCAGAGGCTGAGCATACAGGTAGACAGCCCAAGCCCTGCTGGGGGGAGCGGAGGCCCCTCTACAAACCCTGGGCTCCACCAAGAAGACCCTAAAATGCCGAGCTGGTTCAACACACCAGTTTGACAGATGGGAAGACTGAGGCCCAGGAGGGAAGTGCCTTGCCCAAGGCGAGTCAGACCAGCATCTGGATCTCCCATCTCTGCTCCAGGTTGCCTCTCAGGGCCTTTGGCAAAGTGACCCAGTGCTTGCCAGAGCACGAAAGGGCCCACGCAGGTTCAAGGTGCCATGGCCAAGGAGGAAAGTCTGGGTTCTCACCATGGCTCCGCGGTGTGCCCAAGCAGAAAAGGGCTATTCTGGGGTGAGTCTCCCATCGGCAAACCCCTGATGTCCTGGTGTCAGGGGATGTGTGTCAAAGCCCCACCTAGAGACCAGGCGCTGATACGATTACAATGTGCCACAAAAGAGCCTGTCCCATGTCACTTGTGTGCTCACAGCTCTTGGGCAACCTCTGCTGTCCTGATGCAGCTGTGATCTTTTGGGGGGAAATGGCCTCCCCAGCAGGAAAACACCAACGTCCCAAATTTACGCCCCAGGCCCAAACCCTCAACTCCCTGGGCAGTCCCTCAGGCCTTCAGTGGCCTATTGCTACTCCTATAAATACAGTTCAAACAGGCTCTACCCTCCGTCTCTGCAGTGTGGCTAGGAGCCACGACCAGAGAGGGGCAGGAAGACTGCTGGGGGTGGAGACAGCTGGATGGCTGAGAAAAGCCACTGCTGACAGACGAGAACGGGGGCATGGAAAATCCACGAGAAGCAGACACAAGAGCTCGGCACGGGGGTCAGGCCACTCATGTGGGGGCAGCATGGTGCCACAAACAGTGGCTCTGATGGGCCCAGGCCATGGGAAGGCCCGATGGTTCAGCAGTCTGTTGACAAAGACAGACATGTGCAGACCTTTGGAAACACCTGCCTCCAAAATGGCAGAAATAACCACAACATGAGCAGCAAGTTTTCAGTTATCCTGGAAACTTTATCACCAAGAATAAAGTAATTTCCCAAGAGCCACGTAAAGCAAGACACTGACAACGGTGAACTGGTCTCCTCCCCGGGTTCGTACCAGGAACTCAGTATCTACTGGATTGGAAACGGGCCTTCTAATTATAAGCTTTGCCACCTTTTGGAAAAACCCCAAAACTTTCAAAGCCTGTCCTCCTGTTGGCACAGACAGTCGCAACAGTGCCATCCCGGGCGGGCCACTCAGGACCCCTCCTCATTTTCAGCTCCCAGGAAACTTGGCGGCCTCCCTGCTTTCCCGTCCTGGGCTGGGCCAGCTGGGGGCGCTGTCCAAGGTGTACTTGCAGGGCTGGGACTGGAGACCAGAAGTCCCACACAACTTATACCTTTACAGACAGTAGCCAGCTCAGCTTTGCTGTGTGACCTCGGCCAGCCTCAGCCCCCTCTCTGAGCCCCAGGCAACCTGTCTGGAAAACCGAGAAGGTTGCAAGTGTCGGCTGCTCTACCTTCTAACGTCCACCGAGACCCGCCTGAAGGTAAGTACCCAGACACACGGGCCACTTGGTGTGGTGTGCATACTGACGGTTTTGTCTCTAGAACACGGTAGCCACAGCCCCAGCATCACCTCCCAACAGTCCAGAGAGGGGACAACACCGGTGGTGTGCAGGGCGTGTGGAGGACATCTATACTCTCCAGCGAGGAAGAGGATGACTTGCCCACAAGCACCGCCCTGCTGGCCCATCCCAGCCATTCCCCAGGAAGAGCAGAGAGTGCCTGGTGGGCAGAGCTGCCCCTCCTGAGTCCTCAGAACCAGCCTCGTGGCTGTCAACCCTCCGCGGCACCGGAGGAAGAGTCGTGGGCAAGAAGAAAACCCACAGCCACGAAACACGCCAGCACAATTAATATTCCTGCTCCTTTTCTTAGAAGGTGTTAAAGTTAATTGTGCCTGATTGAAAAGCTTGTTTTCAGGTTGCTGCTGTTGTGTGTGTGTGTGTGTGTGTGTGTGTATTTTAAAGATCTTCCCTCTCCTCTCCACGGGGTTAGAGGGTACAGATGATTTCTGTGTATTTCTTCTGGAAAAAAATGACTTTAAAAAAACCAGTGACAGAAACCTGATGCTAAAAGACTATGGATTTGGGGCTTTTGACAGTCGGCATACAAACCACTGCGCAAAAAGAAGGAGGAAATGACAGCTGAGTCTCGGTGTCGCCGTGGAAGAGACAACAGACATCTTCAGAATGACACGCACAGCGGCTCCAAGTGTCTATTTTCATCTCCCCGTGTTTACAGGAAAAAGACAGAGGTGTCAGCGGTTCTCTGTGGAACAGCTTCAATCACACCATAATTACTGCCAGGGCGGCGGGGGGAAGAGTGAGGAGCTGGGGGGGGGGCGCCGGGGGTGGGGGGCGGTAGGGGGAGAGTGGACTGAGGAGGAAGAGGTGGAGACCAAAACAGATGCTGCTGCTTAAATTCTTCTCATCTGCTCCTGAGGCTGCCAAGTTAGCCCAGATGGAGCAATTTGGCAGAACTGAGTGGGTTCCACCAACTTAGCCGGGGGTCGGGGGTGGAAGTGGGGGTTAGGGTACCTGGACCGGAGGCTCTGGTCCTTTGGGAAGGCAGTACCCAGAGCGGCGGATTTGGAAAGGCCGGGGGAAGGGAGGCTGGCTGGGGCCCAAGGGCTCGCCTCTTAGGTACCAGGGCCAAGGATAGAGGCGGTTGCCATGGTGACAGGGAGGCAAGTCATTGTGGGTCTCTAGCCATCCTCTCTTTTCCTGGTGCCCTGCAGGCCCCACCCTGGGAATCAGGGTAGGCCTCTGGGAGAGCTAACACCTTTGCTTCACAGATCTCCCTCCACTTTCCATCTGGAACATTCCATCTGAGCAGATCCTCTGGGAGGCCTGGACAGGTGGATAAGTGAGTGGGCAGCCCTTGTTCCTTCTTAGCCAGAAAGGGGAGAAGTGAGGAGGAAGTGAGAGTGAGGGGGAGAGCGGGAGAGAGATGGAAGGGTGGAGGGAGAGGAAGAAGAGCTTTGGCTATGGAGGAGGAGGAGAAAGAGGCCGGCGGGCAGGGGTGAGACCCGGAGGGGCAGGGCTGGGAGGAGAGGGGTCACCCAGCGGCTGGAGAAGGAGGGAAGGTGAGTGGAAGGACAAGCCCTGGCTCCTTCCTGGCTGCCCTCGTGCCTGCCGGCCCCCCCTTCTCCTCCCCACTGATTTCATTTACTTCACTTAATTAGCCCCCCTCCGGAGTTAAAAAGATAATGTGATAATGACAGTGTGAACAGCCACAATACAGGAGAGCTACTCCGTCTGCAGCTTCCCCAGCCCCTGCCCCCTGACCCCATGGCCCCTGCGCTGCTGACCGGGCCACCCCGGACCCAGGGCCTAGCACTGCCCAGCTCCCTACCCATCCATCCCTGCCCCCTGGAAAAAAAAACAAGCCCTTAACGAATTTCAATTGCGAGCTTTGTAAAATCAATACAAATGACATTTTTCCTTGTACACCAAGATACAGACAATAGCGCCTTCCTGCTCTGCCCTCAATGTAATTGACAATTAGCAGCTTCTCCCATCACTGGCGACTTAATGAAAACCTCGTCGTGGGGGCATCCACAATGCCCTCATTTATTGCCCCTGCTTTCTTTCTCACAACAAATTACGGGGAGTAGAGAAATAAAAACAAGATATCAACCGAAAATTACCAAGCAACTTTCTTTTCTCACCCCCAAACCCAAGAAAATAGGCAAGTTTGAACTTCCAGAGGGAGATGGCGAGATCAACAGTCTGCCCCACCGTTGAGAGCTGGAGCTGCAGAGAGGGAAAGCAACTTGCCTAAGGTCACACAGCAAGTTCTTGGAGTCAGAATCCTGGTTGTCTTCCTGAAAGACTGTACAACTCTCGGACTAAATTCTGCGCTTTTCGGGGACAGCCCCCCACAGGCACACACAGAACCTGGGCCGAGTGAAGGCTGTGTTCTAGGAAACTTTTCCTGGGGGACGTGGGGGTAAGAAGCTGAGGGAGTCGGAACAGACTGCTAACCTCGAGGCTCTGATCTTCAGTGGTGGTGACACCCCCAGTTCTGGGGAAAAGGTAGAAAGTCTTCTGTCCAGGCACAGCGCCCACTATGGGTCAAGAGCTCTATGTATTTGATCCACACAGCAACCCATTTCACAGATGAGGAAGTCAAGGCCCGGAGAGACCAAGTTGCTTTCCCAACGGTGAAGGAGCCAAGATGGAGACTCAAATACAGCACCAAAGCCTGGACCCTCTACCCCGGCTCTTAAATGTGCCTCCTCCAGGTCTCCAGGGGCTCGGCCCCCAGACAACCCGCCACCGAAGCAGCCACCTGGGATGCCTCCTATATTCTCTCCCACGGCCCTGGAATGCCCCTGCTCTACCCTCTCGATTCTACATTCTACTAGTTGAAGCCTATTCTCTTGCCATCTCCTCCAGGATGCCTTCCCAGAATGGCCCAGTCCATGCCTGTATCACTACCTCCTTCAGCTCAAGTTTGCTGTCCCTATCCAGCAGGATGCCATTTCACAGGGTGACCCCAGGCCAGTCCTTATCTTTCCAATAAGGGAAGGCAATTCATTTTCACCGCAAGTGCCAATCCTGATCAACTGGTAGTGACTGCCTGCAGCACTGAGACACATCCACAATCAATTAGTGATGCCTACCACAGGCACAGGAAGGGCACAACAGCAGGTGCCGTAGTGGACATCTCTGAGCCACACTGACAGCTCCCAGAGGGCAGAGGCTGCCTCTGCCCTTTCAGCATCCCCCAGGGGCCCACACCATTCACGGAGCGCATCCCCTGCTATACACGGGCTAGAACCTGGACCCCCAACTCCAGAATTCAAGCTCTCAGCCCTCCACTCCATGCCTCCCTGGGTTGGGGGGTCAGTCCTGGCCCTGCCACCAATGAGCCTGTGACTTTGAGCCTTGGTGTCCCCGTCTGCAAAATGAGGGTGGTGGTCTCTGGCTCCCCAAGGTCCCTCTGAGGTCTGCCGTGGATGGTTACATTGTGCTGGCTCCCAAGGGCAGACAGAGACAAAGGCACGTTTAAGCAGATGTTAATACAGGTGAGAGACAAAGGTAAGCCAGGATAAAGGAGCAGCTAATTGGTAAGATTGTTCTCGACAAGGCCTTCCCGAGGGAGTTTCAATTAGGTTGTTTCTCTTGGATAATAGCTGCTTCGAGGAGGAAAAAAACCACACGGAAGAGGCAAAGCGGCCGCTTCCCTCCCCTCCTCCCCGCGCTGTTGGAGAGAAATCCGAACAGGTCAGAGCCAGAATGATTGACTCCCACCCCTCAGCCTACACTACACTTGGGGAAACTGAGGCCTGGAGGTGACAAGCCCAAAGTGGTTGGGCAAGGCAAGGCAACCCTGGGGTGAGAACCCGGGCCTCCTGCCTCCGGGTCCAGCGCCCCTCTCTGACAGCTGAAATCTGCTCCCTTTGGATTTTAGAATCTTAGTAAAAAGGTCCTGAGGACAAAGGGCCCGACCTTGGCCTGGTTTTAAGTGGTTCTGTTATTTTTTTAAATTGACCCCCCAAGCAAAGCGATTTGAACACCTGCCAAAACAGCGGGCCCCAACACCATCACCGGTAGTCAAAAATTCAGGTACCCAGTTCAGGGGCTCTAACTGCTGAAAGCTTGCCCCCTCCATCTGAGAGCTCCGAAGAACATTCATTTATCACAGACCAGCACTGCTTTATCCCAGACGCACAGGGACATGAGATCCCCTTGTATGCGGAAACTGAGTCCCGAAGGGGAGGGGTCGAGATGGCCCAGGGGGGTAACTGACAAAGGGCATCATGGGGCTCTGGTTACTAAGAGAAGACAGAGAGACCAACCTCTCCTCCCTCCCGGCCCAGCCAGAGGCAGATACGGCCAGGCAGCCTAGAGGCCAGCCAAAGTGGCAGCCACTCCATACGGAGGCAGAGGCCTGCTCATCCCTGGAAAACGGGCCCCGGGTGCCATGCCTGATCCTGGGACAGGCCCTCAGGCCCTGGGGGATCACGGCGCCCTTGCAGCCCATAGCACCCCGCCCCCCCCCC